TTCTGATCTTAAAAAAAATAATAATAATTTTTAGGTTACGAGCACAAGTCAAGATAACGCAGGTCAAATCTGACTTCCCCACAGAAATAATGTTATGATAGAATTAAAGTCCTAACTAATGACCCAACTAGCTACAAGCACTATCATCAACCAACCATCAATTTTTGCTGTTGTACAGTCATTTCAGTTGTTTCTGACCTTTCATGAGCCAATTTGGGGTTTTCTTGGCAAAGATACTTGAATATTTTGCAATTTCCTTCTCCAGTGGATACCGTAGATCCACTTTGTCAGGCAATCAGAGGTAAAGTGACTTGCCCAGGGTCACACAACTCGGAAATGTCTGATGCTGGATTTGAACTCAGGTCTCCCTGACTCCAGGCCCAGTGTTCTATCCACCGAACCACCAGCTGCCTCCAACTATCAATTACACAGTTCAATAATGTTTAGTACAAAAGTATTTTTTAAAGTTTGGTAAAGTGAAAAATATTAAGAACTTCCTAAGAGAAGATATATATGGTAAGGGAGAAAGAGGGCTATTGGACTTCCGAAAATTAATAGTGGGGCCCAAAAAAATCATAGGATTTACAGCTAGGAAGAAATAGAGAAATCACCTTGTCCATTGCTAAGGGTGGCCCAAACCAGATTTAAATGTGATTTTTGAAATACTTAAAAAATACAGAAAAATACATAATATCAATATGCACTTTTCTAGGTCAACATGTGGCCCACAAAAATCCTTTTGTACAGTTCAGTGGCTCCATTCTATTTGCGTTTCATACCACTGATCTAAGCCAAACAGTCATATTATAAGGTATAGACACCTTACTTAAAGTGGCTTAAAATGAATAGTTGACAAGCATCAAAGCCAAAAAGGTTAAATGACTTGCCCAAGGTCATACACATATTGAAAAAAGAGTAGAATTGAGGTCCTTGGACTTCAAATCCAGTAGCTCAAGAACTACTAGCTCTCGAACCTAAAGGAATTCACCAGTTGGGATACTGTGAACTGATTACAGTACTTCCAAAAGCCAACTGAAAGGGCTAAATAAGCTAAATGGTCTGTAAGCCCTGAATGCTGTATCATAAAGAATAATATTAGTACTACTGCCAAGAGTGAATCACTGTTAAGTAAGGCCGTGTCTATATATAGTTGGGTGCAATTTGGTTTCTTAGTTACAAAAGGACTAACTTACATCTTGTTTTAGCAAGAATTAAGCAGACTTCCTAATAGAACCGTTTCCTATTTTTAATAAAACTGAATCGTTAAAAACATAATTTTTATGACATTTCAGTAGCTAAACTGAACAATATGATTACATGAAACCAAGAGAGAATTTGTATGCCTAACAAAAGCAGTAATTATTTGGAGTCATGGGACCTGGGTTTGAATTCCTACTTCATCACTATGTAATCTTCAGCAAATTGCTTAACCTGTCTTGAGCCTCAGTTTCCTTAATTATAAAAGGCTGGGGTTGGAGTAGAAGACCTCTAAACTCTACTTCCAGCTTGAGATCTATGACCTCAAAAAGGTGAAATCATATGAAGATTCACCTTCCAAATGCACTTTGGTTCTAAACATATAAAATGGAGTAAAAGGGGTCCAAAATTTAAAGGTACTCCTGACATCCTTGAACCATACTATCCCACAGAACTTCTCAAAACACATTCTACCAACAAGGTCCATGGGACAAGGGAAATTGAAGCAGTGGAGATTCAAATAGCTATTTGATAGACAAAGTCCATTGTAGTGGCTTCTAACCTTTTTTCTGACATGGGCCACTTTAGCAATCTGGAGAAGCCCATAGTTACCTCCTCAGAATAATATTTTTAGGTGCACAAAATAAAATACATGGGACTAAAAAGGAAATCAAAGGTTAATAAAAATAAAGATGCAATTTTTCCCATCCACGTTTATAGACCCCCCTGAAATTTCTACACAGACCTCTTGGAGGTCCATGTACCCCAGGTGAAGAATGGTCCCCTTTGTCCATTAGAAAAATTCCAACCATCTAAACTACAGCTACTATGCCTTTCTGAATTCCTTTCAACTGTCTCTGGTTTGCCCCTTCTTCCCTCTACTTTCTTCCCTGTTCTCTATGATCAAAGATCATTGCATTCATATTGCTTATTCTCTTCTTTTCAAGAGAAAGACAGGGCAGGATTGCCAATTCTTTTCAGTGGAAGAGCAAAGAAGTGAAGTGAGTAAAGGACATGGAAACACATGATAAAGAAAGAGAACTATTGTTTCAAACCAATCTTTCTTCTAAGATGCAAACAATTTCCAGGCAAGTGTAGTATGATCTGCTTTCTAAAAGACATAAGCTTCATTCTGGGAATTATAAAGCAATAAAAGTAAGCTTTGAATTTGCCAGCTGCCTATGAGAACATAAATGGATGATATAGTTATACCTAAGCAACATTATACCTGTAATCTTCCTTTAATTGCTCCTCTGCCACCTCATCACAACATGGAGTTGGCTCAGAGTTTACCAACATGGTGCACACTGTCAGGTCCCATTTAGCTGTTAGAATGCCACTTTACGCATCAGCCTGATCTTGCATTATATATGTCTCACTGCCCTTTGATGACAGGTCTGATAATGGATAATGTCACCTGAGGGCAAATCTAGTTAAGGTCTAAGAGGCTCCTCATTCCAGGGTAGGCATCAGGGTGATCAAATTTTCACCTACAGCAATTCATGGAAACTCCCTACTAAGGTAGGAAGGGTGGCAATCTGAACAGATAGGGAGCATTCCCACAGTGAAATTTGGGGGGCATAGATCAAGAGCTGAATGGGAGCTTGGAAATCAACTATTTCATCTCCCTTATTCTACAAATGAAGGAACTAAAGCCTAGAGAAGTTAAAGTATTTGCAAAAGGTCAAGCAAGCAGTAAAGAAGATATTCAAACCCAGGTCCTCTGACTTCAAATCCAGTATACATTCTAAAATTCATTCCACTAGAAAACTGTGGGTCCTTCATTTAATAAAATACCATGCTACAGTGAGTGGCAATAGTTTGTTATAACAACTCACGTTAGCAAATAGCAAGACATATAAAAGATCCTAGTAAAAAGATACATCTATGCATTTTATTTTCAAATATTTTAATTAAACAGTTGTATTTGAATAAACAAGTAAAAACTGAACTCTGATTTAGAACTATCATTACTGGCTTTCAATTATTTTGTGGCACTAATAATATGCAAAGAATTTATTCTTAGGGAAAAAAATACAGTTAGAATCAGCAGTGAAATTTAGCTGAAGAAGCTGAAGAAAAGTAACCAAAGCTTTTAGGGAAAAGTAAGATTGAATAAAAAAGATTCAGTTAATTGAAATAAAAGTCCTGAGTTATCCTCCCAAGAGCTGGTTTACATTCTTCCTGGTGGGCTAAAAACTAAAACTCTGGCACCAATAAGGATAAACAAAACATAAAGATGGTCATGATAACATGCTATTAATTCCAAAGAGTACAGATAAATGTGCTACATTCTTCTAATCTGCTTTGGAGCCTTAACTTGAACTCCAGAATGTTGTCCTTTTCTTAATCCTCCCTAATTATAGTGCCTATTAATTTGGAACAGAAATGCTTTTTCCCCCTCGGGTGGGAGAAAGGGTGGAAATGTTCTAAAAAGCAAAAGGGAATTCAATGAAAAACAAAAAATGAAATGCAAAAAAAAAGTAAAAATTAAGATGCCCATAATTCTAAGACCTACAGCTTGTTGCCAACTTAATCTGGTGGAATAATTGTGAAAGAAGTTTGAAACATAGGTGTGTAAACATACATACATATACATGTATATAGTGTGTTTGTATACAGAAATACATATTTGTTATATATTTATATGCTACTTCTATTATGTATTAGCCATATTTATATTACATGTCTAATAATCGATTATATATGCAAAGATATTTAGCAATGTAGTTAAATTAATCTCAATTAAAGGATATTTAGGTAGAAAACAAACTGCCCGAATCTCAAATGTCTATGGATAAGTTCAGTTTCACTAGTATTATGAGTTGAAAAATACAAAACCAAAAAAAATCAGCCTAGCTTGTTAATTAGCACTCTTATTATGCCCACGACCCTCAATATATTCCATTTAGGATTATTTGGACTGAAGGAAACTAGTGTCCTTTTAAATTATTTTATCTATAAATTTAGAGCAAGTGAGTGAGAATGTGTTCATTATATATAATCTGGGAATAGCATCAAACTTTGTTTTTCAAAGACCAATCTCTGAGGGAACCAACAAAATTAACCCATGGACCACATCATCCCCAGAACTGTGTGAATCTGAAATAGAAAATAAAATCCATAAATATCGGGTCAGTTACATAGAGGCATGGAATATCTCCAGGACAAAGGGGAAGGGATAGAGAAATTATGTAGCAAAATATTCCATCTATTTTTATCTCCAAAATTTCCATATAAAGTTTAACATTTTAAATGGAAAAATGTTGTTTTTCCATAGAATTGTGATTCAAAATTATGTGGAATGCCAAGGGCTAAACAGAACAGACCTTGGGAAACAATATCACAGAGGAATAGTAATGCTACTATTAATTATTACCATTTGATCTTTATTCAACCTCTTTTACTGAAGGCTTAGTATCAAATCAACTAATACATAGCATGTGTGTTCTAATAATCCATTCTAACAATCTCTGATGCAATTTCTAGCCAGCTTCTGAATACAGTATAATGTGTGTTTGTTTATGTAAATAAATACATATTTATTAAATATATATTTATGTATTAGCTATATATTTATGTTATTTCTATTATATGCTTATATTAAATATATATCATCTATGTAAATACATATTATATCTATAAACATATATATGTAAAAATTACATGAGTAAATAAGTTTGTATTAGATAGTTTTACCTGCAGAATATATATATTATATTTAATCTACAAATCCGTGATTATTTAGATAGTTCAAAAATTGATCATGTAATTACTTGAATTGATGGTTAAAAAAAACTTACAGATATTTTAAATTTTCCAGGTCTTCAAATGATCCACTGGGTATTCTTTTAATCTGATTATTGTTAAGAAGCCTATAGAGAGAAAACAAAACAAAAGCAATCACAGTAATTATTTTCTTGAGGCAGTAAACAATCTAAGCTTTAGAAGAAAGCTTATCATTAGTCTTCAAAGAAAAAGGGCAGCTTTTAACCTATGAACTTTAACACAGAATCAAAGAATTTTTGATGTGAAAAGATGTGACCCCTTCACTTTATAGAAAGTGAGGCCCAGAGAAGGAAAGTAACTAGCCAAAGGTCTCACTGCTAGTATAGTAGCAAAGTAAAATAATAAAGATGAATTTATAGGCATTTTTCTCCATTACTAAACAATATGATAATAGTAACTTAATAGGTTAGGAAATACGATGATAAAAGATTTTTACGACTTTGTTAACATTCAAATTTTGTTTCCCTAACAAAATTATTTCTAATATGTACAAGTTTCAGTTTGTGCTGCTTTTTAAGCTCAAAAATAGAATTTTGAATAAGTGATCCAGGAGCTACAGTGATCAAAGACTTAACAGAAGTGAACTTGGGTTTTCCCAAGATTTTATGATGTCAGAATGAAAGCTATAAGGAGTTAATCCAAACCAGAAAGGCTTAGAGTATGGGGAAACGATAACTTCTCAGTACGTCCGTTTCCTCTTTTCTTGAAAGAGGGGAATGCTTTGCAATAAATGATTGTGAAGGTCCCTTCCAAAGCTAACATTCTGAGATTCTAGAATTCCAGGCCTAGCAGTAGACTATATATCTCTCATCTGAAGACAGCCTACATGCTTTATCATCAGAACATGATGAGGACTATTATTTAATGGATTTTTTTTTTTGGCCTGGACAATCCATGAACTCAGATTCTAGAAGGGATTCAATCTACTTCAGAAGAAATGATCTAATTCGATCTTTTGAAGGACTGAAGTTGGAGCATCCCAAATCATTATCAGGTTGGTCTTCAACATAAACCTCATTAGACATATACACCATGAAATTTTATATATAGCTTTACAGATGAGGAAACTGAGGCCTAGGCAGGTGACATGAAAACACTATATTAATGGCATATCTAGAGTAACAATCCAGGATCCTGACTCCCAACCCAAGATAATGGATAGCATTTCATAAACCTGAAAGCACTATATAAACATGAGCTATTATTAATACTATGATTTCTACACCTCACTGCCCCCCACCATTCATACAATATAGAACTAGTTATCTTTTAAAAAATAAAATTTTCGTTAATTTTTCAAAAAAGAATTTCAACTTACAACGTATTCAAGTTTTTCAGCCGCTTAAATGTTCCAGGCTGGATTTCTCTAATTCTATTAAATCGTAAGTCCCTGTGGAAAAACAAGAACATAAATTTATTCGTACTTTCTTTAAAGTTGTGGAAGAAAGTTGGGAGATTTGCAAGCATCACTGTCATTCCCTAATTTCAAAGCATTTTTCACAACAGTGATGGTAAATCGAAGGTAGACTAAGAATTAAGCACCTACTGATTGATATATACAAACGTATGCAAGATTTTTTTTTTTTACTAATATCCCCTCAGTCCTGTTGTCTTGCAAGTAATCTTGGATGAGCAAAGAAAACATGAGCAGAGTACAAGTTGCAACAGGTCCTTCTCCAAGCTGGAAAAGCTTCAAGTACAAATGTGGTGACCAAGTACCCATCATTCAAGGATCAGGCTAGCTAAAGTTTGGAAAACACCAGGGGGGGGGTTTTCTTCCTCACCAACTCACAAATCCTAAATTACTGGAATCTTCATCCAAGGAGGATAAATATTCATATCAAGGAAATCTTGGATCCTTGAAGTAGGTTGGGTTTTGGGGTTTGTTCGTTTCTTTTCTTAAAATCCCTAGGTCCATTACTATCACTTTAAAACTCAATGTCCCAGTAAGCCTGAAGAATGGACAAGAACTGGTTGATGGAGAAAGCAGATAGGAGTTACACATCATACTAAAAAACGAAGCTCAACCTCTAAACAGTCAAAGCAGCTATGTAAATTGTGCAGCCTCTTCGGATTTCTCTAAGATGTTTTCATTCCCTGAACTTTAAGCAGACAGACACACCATCATCTGACAAGAAATTTAAGACTTAATCCCTTGGAAACATGAGACAGATTAAGTTAGAAAAACAGATGCTATACAGTGTATATGTTTTATCATTATTACTATTATTAGCTCCAAATATGAGTTTCAAACAAATGTATCAGGCCTTAAAAAACGATCTGAAATCATTAAGACAAAATATGAAATCCAAGGATGCAACCAACGTATTTAAGAGATTAATGTCTGAAAAACCCTAAGCTAAACTTGGAAATGGAATCAATATTCCACAAAAACAATTTAAAAATTCATTAGCCCTTATTTATAAGTAATTTTAACAAAAACCAGAAGGAAATGATAGGAAGATAAGACAAATGACATTCAAAATAATTACATATAAATGTAAAACGTATGAAATGTCAGAGAGGAAACCCACCAGAGCACAATCAGGATTTATATAAATCCAACTACAAAAAGCCTTTACTATTTAAGGGAAGATTTTTTTAAAAAAGAAAGAATGAATGATTTAAATAATTGAAGAGACAGCATTCATGGCTGAACAAATGCCTACTTAATAAAAATGAGGATATTGCCTAAAGTAACTTTTAGATTCAGTGCTAAATTGGTAACACCACTAAAGGGATACTTTACTGAATGAGAAAAATGACAACAAAATTCATTGTTAATGAGTACTCATGGATATTTTTTGGATTTGCTTTTTGTCTTTTTTAAATGTATAACAGGGAGCTGATGATTTAAAAAGGAAACTATTAAGAGAACACTTAAGGGATCCTTGATAAATTAAAGTCAACTAGCCCATATGTACTTGACTACTTAAAGAACTGGAAGACAAGACTGCTACTCCACTGTCAGTATTATTTAACATATCATGGAGAAGTAAGATTGAAAAAGGTCAAATGTTTTCCTTACTTAAAAAAAAAACAATGGAAGAGAATAGTCTGTAGATTATAGGCCAAAGGGCTTGATTTTAATTTTTAGCGAAATTCTAAAACTCATTAAAGAGATAGTCAGTGAACACCCAGTAAAGTAAGCAGTAATCACAAAGAATGAACATGGATTCAGAAAGCACAAGTCATGCTAAGTGAACTTTATTTCTTCTTTTTTTAAGTTATTAAATGGTAAGTGAGAGGAATGCTGCAAATGTAGTTGACCTCCATTTTAACAAGGCACTGATAAAGGACCTCACACTATTGGTGTGGAAAAGAGGGAAAGATGTGTACTACATGATAGTAAAGTTAGATGGATTTGGAACTGATTGAATGGTCAGGCTCAAAGAGTAGTCAGCAATAGTTGTAGGTCAATTTGGCAGTCTGTCAATAGAATATAGAATAGTGTTGGGATCAGTACTTAGCCTGTGCTGTATAACATTATTCTCAATTCCTTGATTAGTGCATTTTTCAAATTTGCAGATGACATAAAGCTGGGAGGGACAGCTTACATAATGAGTCGAATCAAGTATGATGAAATTTAATAGGGATCAATGAATCAATGAACCTTTCTTAAGTACTTACTGTAATATGCACCAAATATGGTGTAACAGCAGTGAGATACAAAGACAAAAGCCCTTAATAAGCTTACATTCTATTGGGAAAGATATTATGTATACATATAAGTAAAATCTTATGTTTAGGTTCAAAAATTCCACTTCTCATATAAAAGATTTGGAAGAAGAAGTTGCATGGTAAGACAGCAGTTTGTCTAAAAGGATGTTCTTTTTATTGGCTTACAAGCTCAATGAGTTAACAGTGGCAAAAATGACAGTCAAAAAAGCGAGTGCAATCTTGAATTAAAAGAGGTACTGGAATGAGGAGCTAATAATATCATTTTACTTATCCCTCTTCAGACTACATCTGGAATAGTTCATTCAGTTTCCATTCTAGGAGAGATACTAATAAGCTAGGGTCCAGACAGGGACAACCAGAAGCGAAAGACATAGAAACTATTCCAAGAAGTATCAGCAAAGAAATGGGAGGGTTGTAACATGGAAAAGACAGAGAAGTATGGCACAGCGGAAAGAACAACAGATTTTTGGAGTAGGTCACCCGGGGGACAAATCACTCCTCTACTATTCACTCTACAGGAGTGACTTTAGGCAAGTCATTTGACTTTTTGGGGGCCACAGTTCCTCAACTTGTAAAATAAGGGATTGGGGTGGGGAAAGGGTTTTTAAGGTCCTTTCCAGATACAAATCTATTAACTCCTATAACAGAATAGCTGAATTTTAGCGGCTGCCAAATACAAACGGGATCAGACTTGTTCTGTTTGGCCCCCTCAGGCAGAACAAAGATCAACAATAGGTGGAAGTGCCAGAGACAAATTTAGATTTGATTTAAGAAAAAAAAAATCCCCCCCCCCCAAATTAGAGCAATTCCAAAGTAGAATGAGCTGCCCTGGGATGGGAATGGATTCCCTCTCATCAGAAGTTCTTCAAGCAAAGTTGAGATGACTATTGTTTGGGTGGGGGAGGTTCTTTTTCAGTTATATGCTGGGCTACGTTGCCACTGGGGTTTCTGCCAACTGAAATTCTGTGCTTCATTGTTTTTGTGATAGCATCAAAGGACAGGGACTTCCAACTTCCCTTCAAGCTTTAAAATTCTTTGACTCTGGAATCTCTACTTCTTGAAAATCTCATCTTTCAGGTAGAGAAAGTGGTCTGATTTAATTGCATATAATTACAGGAAGTATTAGATGTTCAAAAATATAACAAACATCTCCACGTATCATTATTAATTCACAGCACAACAAAAACAATGGGAGTCTTGCTATTGCTGAGGCATATGAAAATGACATCGTAAGCCAAAAGCTAACCTTGTAACTTTTTCAGTAATATTTGGCAGGCTTAAAAAGCAATTCACATTTTATAATATGTTATTACTTTTGTAATGAATGCATTTTAAGAGCTAAAAAAATAAAACACTCAAAATAACCTACCAAGTTGCATTTTAGGAATTATATTACTATTTTTAGCCCATGAGGAAAGCAATATAACTGCTTGCAACACTAATTTACTTTCAATTGCTTCTTTGAACTCTTTTTAATCCATAGTAATGCACTGATAAGTTAACACTTTATACTTGACAAACACACAACCTATTTAATGTTCACTTTAATAAGTTGTAAGAAACTTTTTCCATTGTATACAATTCAGTAGCATCAAGTTATGAAAAGCATTAAATTGCTCAACTGCCTAAAAATGATTAACATTTTCATTAAAAAATGCAATCTTCCCAGTTACAAGAATAAAAGCCTGTTTCCTTAGTACCAAAGTACATTAACTTGTTCCACTATGTGAAACTTCAATTAGCAAAATGAGAAATTTATCAACCTTTGACTTCCAATTTTTACTAATAAAATGTCAAAAGACGTGGGTTTCTAGTCCCAACTTTGCTCCTAACTGAAGAGGCAGTATGACACAAAGGAAATACTACAGATTTGAGATCAAAGGACCATAAGTTGAAATTTGGCTCAGAGACTTACAACCTACATGACCTTGAACAAGTTATTTAACCTCTTTTGGTCTCAGTTTTCTCATATATAAAAATGAGGGATTGTATCTATGATCCCATTATCCTAAAGGATGGGCTCCAATGACTTTGAAGGTCTCTTCCAGCTCCACATCCACAATCTGTCCTTGTGTGAGCTCACATAAGTGGCTTCTCTCTGGGCCTCAGGTTTTTTTTTTATTTGTTACACAAAGAGGTTGGGAAAGATCAGGGGTTCCTAATCTTTTTTTTTTTAATCATAAATTCTGTTAACAGTCTGGTGAAGCCTATGAACCCCTTAACAATGAGATGGATAAAATAAAATACATTTTATTGCAAAGGAAACTAATTACAGTGAAATACAGTTACAGAATTTTTTTTTAAAAGCGTAAGAATCTCAGGTTAAGAGATTTAAGGGTTTGGATGTTGGATGTTGAAGGGACTTCAGGTAGCCTAATCTCTAACATACTTTTCTTAAGAGAACTTTTCATTTTTTAAAAATTTAATAGTACACTCTACTAAGAAAAAAAAATGATAGTAAAACTCTTTTGTGGAATGGAGATAAAAAAAAGTCTCAAGGACAGGAATTACATTTACCGGTTGCAACACAAAACCATCTTTTTTCTTCACAAATGAAACAGATGAATCACATCAAGTCAGTCACAAAATGAGTACTGCTAAGCTGGGAAAAACCCTCTAGGCACATTGGGATTTTTAGTCTATCTCTTAAATGGGATTCAGATAACAAGCCTTGGCAGGTACCGTGAAAGAAGAAAGTTTTCAGGGGAT